ACAAATACAAATTAGGATGAAATCTGAAAGGAAAAGCTTGGTTGTGATGAGGAGGATTCAACCTTTGTATACAAGAAACCTCCCAAAGTTAATACAAACCTAATCCCAAAATATGAGACCGGTTATACCTGACAGCAAACCCAACCTGCATAAATAAACGTACGGTGAAAGCTAGAACACTGGAAAAGCAGAAGATGTTGGGGTTGTGTGACAGGATAGTCACATAAAACCGCCTGGGTTGTCAATTTAAACCAGCTGTCTGGGGGAACTCACTATACAGGGGGACTTCTTCAAATACCAGAGGGTAGTTGTTAGTCACCGTCCACCGAGTCAGCCTTTTCTTTCAAACAGTTGGGCCTAAACGGCATCTGTGACTTACACATTCCTACATTTGCCTTCAAGTCTTCAGCCCTCTTTCAGATCAGCACATTACTAGTTAAATAATGCATTAAGTAGAAAGAAATGTCAAAAAATGCCAATCTTAAAACTGTTTTGAGGGTTAACATGCACATCAATGAACAGAAAATGCAAGAAAGGTGTTTTGATGTCATCTTTCTAGACATTTGCAGTGTGTGCGAGCAAATCTAGATCCACTGATCAGTTTTCCTTCAGCAAGGTTGTGCATGTAAACAGACACAATTTGCCATTTATTTATTTATGTGAACAGTGACCATAAAGTATGAAAAAAAAAATGAATCACCTGATAAGGGCAGATTTTGGAAGCATACAATATCAATGTTAGGGATGCACCGATATGAAAATTTTGGCCTATACTGATAACCGACAATTTTTAATATTTGAAAGCCGATAACAGATAAATATAAATTTATAAATCGTTTTTGAGAGCCTGAATACAAAAACAAAAGTCTCACCATTAAAAAACATGTCCCAAGCACCGTTATAATGTTTTTATTATAATTTTATGTAGCCATTAGCCAATATAACGTTTTGTCCTTTTTTAAGTAATTTCAATTATATTTCAAGTGATTTAAAACCATCATGGTGAACAGTGTGCTAAAGTGTCTCAGCTGAAGGAAATAATCCATTATTTATCAGCTTTAATATATCGATACGATAACGATGACATAAAAAAAATGAACATATATCGGCTGATACCGATATGGTGGCCAATATATCGTGGATCCCTAATCAATGCCAACTTTTTCTAATTTAACAGTGTATATTGGACATTACACAATATAATCTAATGCTGGATTTCACAGTTCAAGTAAGGAAATATTTTATACAGTAGTGGCCAAAATTGATGTCTGGGAGGGGATATTTGTTTTTAATGACCCTACAAGTTCGGCAAACCATGAAAATGTGAGGAAAATACTATATAGTATTTGAAATATTTTAAATATGAAGGAAGAACAAAACACTGAACTTGTTTATATCGGAATAAATTATTTGGCGAAACATGCAAACTACTACAAATTTTGTTTTACTATGCAAAAAATGCATAGAAAAACTGTAAATATTACATATATAAACCTGTTTAAATATATAAAACTTACTAGAATAAACTACACAACCCCAACAACACCATTACGACATGAACGAATTAATGTATTTCTCCTCTAGACTTAGTTAATCAAACCATGACATCAGTTAAGATGGATTTTACATTTACCATCTCTAAAACTGTCAGATAAAAATTAAAGCATCCTATCGGAAGCATGCGGTCGTCACAGGAGAATAACACAAGAGATAACACAAATCTGGCCACAAGTTCAACTTGTCCAGGCCTCGTCTCTAACCAAATCATGGCTTAGATGTTCAGCCTAATGCAAAGGAGAGAGCTGTTTACAGCTTTTTACAATGCTGATCTAAAGTTTTAAAACTAGAATATAAATAAATAACCTGAGCAAATTCCAGCAGCCAAGCCAAGTTAGCATCCAAAACAATTGGAAAGTATCTAAGCAGCAATGAATCTGCAAGAGGCTGACAAGAAATGAATCAAAATAAAATCAAGTTTCTTTTTCCAAAACATTAGCCTAAAATATGGCATATGCTCTGCTTAAAGGGATAGTTCACCCAAAAATAAAAATTCTGTCAGTATTTACTCACCCTCATGTTGTTCCAACCCCGTAAGACCTTCGTTCATCTTCGGAACACAAATGAAGATATTTTTGATGAAATCTGACAGCTGGATCACTCCTGCATACTAGTCCATAGGCTTCTTGAGGGATTGAAACTTGCCAGCCTCGAAAAGTTACTGAAGACATCGTTAAAATAGTCCAAGTGACTACAGTGGCTCAATCTTAACTTTATCAAGCGACGAGAATACTTTTTGTGCGCAAAAACAAACAAAAATAACGAGTTTATTTTAACTATTCACTTCCTTCTCTATGGGCCTCTACTCAGTTAACGTAGTGTGATTGCGTAAAGCTACGTCCCACGTAGGCTCACTATTGGCCAACGCTGGTCATGTGTGTGATGCGTGTGACGTACAACAACAGATCACACGCTGAAAACTAGTAACCTGACTTGAGGCAGAGAGAGAAGTAAATGAATAGTTGAAATAAAGTGGTTATTTTTGTTGTTTTTTGCGCACAAAAAGTTTTCTCGTCGTTTGATAAACTTAAGATTGAGCCACTGAAATCACTTGGACTATTTTAACGATGTCTTTAATAACTTTACGAGGCCAGCAAGTTTCAATTCCTCAAGAAGCCTATGGACTAGCATGCAGGAGTGATCCAGCTCTCACATTTCATCAAAAATATGTTAATTTGTGTTCCGAAGATAAACAAAGGTCTGTAAATACAACATGAGAGTAAATATTGACAGAATTTTCATTTTTGGGTGAACCAACCCTTTAAAGGAGTAGTTTAAAACTCTAAAAAGCACTTTTAAAAAAACTTTTGCTGATAATTTACTCACCCCATCCAAGATGTCCATGTCTTTCTTTAGTCGAAAAGAAATTAAGTTTTTGATGAAAACATTCCAGGATTTTTTCTCCATATAATGGACTTCACTGGGTACCAGACGGTAATAGGTCATTAGTTGAATGAACCAAATGACTCGAAAAAAGATTTGTTCATTTTGATGAACGAGTTCGAACAGGAGAGTCACGAACGCACATCACAGAACAGAGCAAGGCGAGCATTTGAGCTTATAAAACTTAAACTTTTTTATTTATTTTTAAAATGATGGATCGTTTCGCTTGATAAGACACTTATTCATCGTCTGGTGTCGTTTAAAGCCCTGTAGTTCACTTTTAAAAAAACTTTTGCTGATAATTTCCTCACCCCCATTTCATCCAAGATGTCCATGTCTTTCTTTCTTCAGTCGAAAAGAAATTAAGGTTTTTGATGAAAACATTCCAGGATTTTCTCCATATAATGGACTTCAATGGGAACCAAACGTATAAAGGTCCAAAAGACAGTTTCAGTGCAAACTGCAAAATGTTCAAAGAGCTTTAAACGATTCCAGACGATGAATAATGGTCTTATCTAGCGATAAGATCGCTTATTTAAAAAAAAAAAAAAGTCTGCGCGTTCGTCACTCTCCAAAATAAATGAATCTTTTTCCGAGTCAATTCATTCATTTCGTTCGTTGAACAAACCAAATGACATTAAAAAAAGATTTTCTTTTTTTTTTTTTTTTAAATGAGCGATCGTTTCACTTGATAAGACCCTTATTCATCGTCTGGAATCGTTTAAAGCCCTTTGAACAGTTTGCAGTTTATAAGGAAACTGTCTTTTGGACCTTTGGTTACCAGTAAAGTCCATTATATGGACAAAAATCCTGGAATGTTTTCATCAAAAACATTAATTTCTTTTTAACCAAAGAAAGAAAGACATGGATATCTTGGATAACATGGGGGTGAGTAAATTATCAGCAATTTTTTTTTTTTTTTTTTTTAAAGTGAACTACTCCTTTAATATTATTGTGTTACAGTGTATGCGTATATTATTCTCTGCCACACTCGTTCAGTCTATCCTGCGTGCATCATGCCTTCTGCTTCCATGGAATGAATGTTTACAATTCAGGTCATTCAGGGTAGCTGCAAGTCACGCCACAAAATAAACAAACAAACGGCACACTATGTTCATTCACGGTGGAATGTGATGTAGCGCTCCGGTCATTTCCTGCTCAACTTAAACATGTAACACGTTTAAAGTCATATTCATTAGTTAAGCTGGGTCAGGAGGCGCCCGATTAAACATGTACTGAAACAATACACTGCTTTTCCCATTACGCTATACGTTTAGCAGCATTTCAGTCACATGACGAGCCACTTAATACTTCCCAGCAATGTCTACTTGAATTCAGTTAATGTATTTACAACTTCACCACCACAAAAGGCCATGTCATATAATTCCATGTTTGAAGAAATACTTTGTATAACACAAAAGAGGGATATTTCATATTTCATACGTCAGCAGTGTTAGTCAAAAAGAGAATGACACCATATGACCCAGGGGACTTTTTCAACCTTATTCACACAAAATCCTAGTCTTTCCTATAGGGAACCAGTTTGATCAATCACTATGACACATCCTTGGTTGTCAAAACACTTTGCCACAAGCAGAACTAGGCTAGATTTCTTTCATAACTTTTCAACTAGCCCTTTAAGACTTTTAATAGCACACACTCTTTTAAATAGACACCGTTTAATCAAAGTCCAATAAGTTATACTCCCTTTCTGAAGTTAATTTTAATCCATGCCCTATGCTGCTAAGCATGCTGGTATGATGGCTCAGAATTTAACAGCATGTTGCTACTTGACTTTTTCCAGAGCTGTACACACACACACACACGATTCAGTGCTGCTAAATGTGGCTTAAATACTTTTGTTGCATAAACGTAAGTCCATATTTTTAATGACTCTAAAATCCAAACACTTACTTATTTTTGGTACTACTAAGATGATTTAATCAATAAATACAATGACTTAAAATGCTTTAAACATAAAATGCATGGGTTTAAGATGACTTGAACATGAAATGCATTGATTTTAAGAAGCATACATGTCTTTAAAGTATCATACTCACCCCATTCCAAAAACTCAGCAATGTTCTTCTCTCTTCTGAGTGGGGAGTTGATGCACTCATCATAAATGCAGATGAGAACATCCAGAAGAGTTTCCACACTAAAACACTGTCCATTAGACTGGACAGGCCCATCCAGGATCAGTTTCTCCAGCTTTTTCAAACGCACTTCTCCAGACATGGTTCCAAATTGATTAATTTACAGATATTTAAGTGTTACTGTAGCTACTCAAGCTAACCAGCTAACAACATTCTCGCCACACAATGTATCTTAACTGTTATTTTCTCATATAAATACAAAAAAACGTGTATTAATAATAACAAATAATAGTGTCAAACCATGTCAAGTATGTAAACTTCAAAAAATTCCCAGTTTGTTTAACTTTAACGGGTTAAAATAACTGATGCTAATGATCCGGCTAATAAAGACGTTCGGCTAGCAGGCTAGCTGATTTTAGCTCGTCCTCGAAGATAATTATCCTCAAAACCAACAGGAATAACATGACACGCCCCTCAAATGTTATGTTCAGGCATTACATGTGTGGAAAATATGGATAACATGTGTTTATATCCGCAAAAAGTGAGTTTAGCGAAGTTCTCCAAAGGCACCGATTGAGTGTCACTTAGTTTTCCTCAGTCCTTTTCCCACGAATAATTCCTAAAAAAGTGAGTCCTGCCAGCCGGATGAAGTCAGTCCGTCAGATGATGATGATGATGATGGTGGTGGTGGTGATGGGGTGAAGATGAGGAGGAGGAAGGTGGCTGTGTGGATGCGGGATGACGGGGTGATTCTCTCTCATCTGCCCGCCGCCGCTGAATGTGTTTCAGGAATGATGAGGAGAAACATGGCGACTAGACGCTCTCTCTCTCTCTCTCTCTCTCTCTCTCTCTCTCTCTCTCTCTCTCTCTCTCTCTCTCTCTCTCTCTCTCTCTCTCACACACACACACACACACACACACTTACACACAATCACATTCAGACACACAAAAATAAAAAATAAACATACAAAGATAAACAGTACACATACAAGGGCACATATAGCTACATATAGAACACGCATGCAGAATATAGACACACTAAAGAAAAACTAAATAAATACATATAAATACACTTACATACATAAATAAACAGAGGTTCATATACAAACACAAAGACACACGTTTACATATAACGTTTACATATAATACATAAATACACATTTAACAGCTGTTTTGCTTAAGCAAAGAATTTAGGGCGAGGGGGTGGGGTGGGGCAGGTTGGGGTCACATGTGTTCACACTTTTATTTTTCATGATAATTTGGATAGTATCAAATATGCTTATAGGGATGATTTGCTGTAGTTTAGTTGAATCAGTTACATTTTTCTTTTGTAATTTTAGGCTATTTATATAATCTGCATAATCCATAATTTTGCAATATCTCTGTTTATATCAATGCGTGAAATCTATCTATCTATCTATCGTTCGATCAATGATCTATCTATCTATTAATCTATCAATCTATCTATCTATCTATCTATCTATCTATCTATCTATCTATCTATCTATCTATCTATCTATCTATATCTATCGTTCGATCAATGATCTATCTATCTATCTATCTATCTATCTATCTATCTATCTATCTATCTATCTATCTATCTATCTATCTATCTATCTATCGTTCGATCAATGATCTATCTATCTATCTATCTATCTATCTATCTATCTATCTATCTATCTATCTATCGTTCGATCAATGATCTATCTCTCTATCTCTATCTCTCTATCTCTCTATCTCTCTATCTATCTATCTATCTATCTATCTATCTATCGTTCGATCAATGATCTATCTCTCTATCTCTATCTCTCTATCTCTCTATCTATCTATCTATCTATCTATCTATCTATCTATCGTTCGATCAATGATCTATCTATCTATCTATCTATCTATCTATCTATCTATCTATCTATCTATCTATCTATCTATCTATCTATCGTTCGATCAATGATCTATCTCTCTATCTCTATCTCTCTATCTATCTATCTATCTATCTATCTATCTATCTATCTATCTATCTATCTATCTATCTATCTATCTATCTATCTATCTATCTATCTATCTATCTATCTATCTATCTATCTATCTATCTCTTCATTTTTTGTAACCTATATGTCTAGAAACTTATCATCAAAAAAGAGTATTCTTTTGGTAAGCTAAAAAATTATAGTGCATTTACGTAAAATTAAAAATGCTAATACTGTAAATGGAAAATACTGAAAAGTTTCTTCTAACTGGGAAACTTCCAAGGACAAGTACAAGTGTAACAAAATTCATTACACTAAAATCAAAAATTGAATTGCTGCCATGGATGATAAGCTCATTGCACTTTTCAAACATGTTGAATTTAATAACAAATAAAGAAAATAAAGTTATTGTTGAAGTTGAGGAAATGACACAAATCATTGTGACAAGTTACAGTAATTAAACAGAATGACATTACAGTATGAAACAGCCATGCTCTAAAACAATAAATGCTCTCACTGTACCATAAGAAATGAATCTATAGTTGACCTTTACAGATGAAGGGTGGTTTACAGTAATGTGGCGGTAATCTGTTTACATGTATCACATGCTGCTATAATGTAAAATGCTGTATTTGATGCTATGTGTCTCCCTTCTTCTGATGCATCTCTGATCAATCTGATGTTTCACACAGTCATTGACACAAATGTCTCACACACACACTAAAAATAGTGGTTATAATCTAAATCGCTTATTCATTACATTTGGTTATCCGCATAAATTGCAAACAGTAGAAACTAGAATCTGTATAGAAATATAGATTACCAAACAATTAAGACCAGTTAGACAAATTAAATAGACAAATGTATTAAATTGAACAAAAAGAGATCAAATCAAAAGTTTGATAGAAATAGCATTATGAAAGGCAGTTACTGTGAATTAAAATTTTTTACAGATGAAACACTGATACTTTGGTGCGATTTGTTGTATTGTACTAACACAATTGAAAACAAAAAAGTGGACTTTTGACAATCTGTTGTGATATACTGAGAGTTTTGAAAATGTAAAAATTGCTTGTAAAAATTGTGCCAAAGCAATTGAAGAAAAAAAGGTATAATGATGACCCAGATCATATTATGACTATTCTACTATGGCTTATTGATATAAATATGTTTACACTGCAGTCAAGCTGAAGGTTCACAATGCATTGAACGTAGCCCTCAATCGGGTCATGGGGTCTATACGACCCCAATCGACTTTTACTTAATAATAAAAAAAAAAGGTTCCCTTCATCTCAGTGGAATAAGATTTTGTGATTTTTCAATTATTATCTATCTATACACACACACACACACACACACACACACAAAAACTTGGCTTGATTCGGTTGTTCTGAAGGTATGTAAAAAAAAAATGTTTACATTTCTGGTCTTCGGGGTCAGTATGACCCCACATCGAAATGAATGGGAAATGTAAAAAAAAAAAAAAAAAAACTAAATATATTTTCTTCATGTGTCAAAAAAAAAAAAAAAAAATACGCCATAAATCTGATTTTTTTACACAGAAATGAAGGCCTGGAAGTACTAGAGCATAAATGCAATGTATACAGTAATTAAAAAATAATATTTCATATGCAAGCTAATGGTGTAGTTGAGGAATTGTGTGGTATATGCATACAAAAGTACTTTATATCTCCAAAAACACAGCATTGATGAATAGATGAGAAGTAAACAAAAAATATATATTATTTGTATGATTAAAAATGTATATTTTTGGTACAATTACTCAATTAATCAATTGTTGGGGTCGTAGACCCCGAAGCCCAGAAGTGTAAACAGGAAACGAAGACCATTTGAAGGTTAAATGTGCAGTATTTATAATTACTAGATATGTTCTGATCTGTCTGTAATGTCAGAGCTCCCTCTGGCGACTGAAACAACCCACTGCGATTCTCCAGAGAGTCTGGCGATAGTTTCATGCAAAAACATGGCGTCACCTACAGGTCCTTTTACAGTAATTACTAATCTACTACTTTTCCAATGGCTTGCATGGTATTCGTGGAAATAAAAGGTCACAGTTTGGATGTGGATGAATGAACATCATTTATGAAATAGGCAAACTGTGATTCAGAATAATCTCTTCTAGTTTGGCATTCTCAAGCAAAGCAAGCCACACCAGACTGTTTATTAACAGTTAGTCTGTCTGAATAGCTTAATTTCATTTCTATTAGTCTTGATAGTGGATCAAATAAAGCCCTCGGCTCCATCATAGCAGTAAACATGAAGGACATCTGAGCGGTGTAGCTGGACTGGTTTCTATGAACAGGGTCTATAATGATCATCATTAACACCTTTTGTGTTTATTGGGGCTCTTGATTAAAAGGGGTAAAATACAGCACAGTGTTATTGTTGGTTTAATCCTTCTGATCCCTTTTCATATGCAATTAGATTAATGAGAAATACCACTTTCAGTCTAGATCATCTAATTAATTGATGTGCTAGAATTTGCAGCATGCATGAGAAATCAAAGAAAGTCAGTTGTTACACCCCACCCTCCAAAAAACAACCGTCTATATAGGTATAAATAATAGTTTCGCTTAATGAGTCATTGAAAGTTTCAGGTCTAAGATCTTTTGTCATGTGCTGTGTATTCAAAAACGTCTCATAAAATATCTTACAGGGACAGAAGGTTTGGAATTCACCACTGAAAATGAAGTATTTTAAAACATCATTTGATAATATGTATGAGGTAAGAATAACTATAATGGTGACCATAACTATGTTATGAAATAACTACTGGGGAAAATTAAGTTATTAAAAAAGTTAAGGTTTTTGACATTCAAACCATTTCAAATTCACAAGAACATTTTATTTGAATGAATGGCATTACATTTGTATTTATGAATACAAAACTTCAATCCTTTAGTCTTTATTAATTTTATGTGAAACTGCTTCTCTCTTTAATCAACGAGGACTTGCAGGTGAAAGATTTGACATGTAAACACATTAACTTTGCATTTTCTCAAGTCTTTCTGAGCTTTACAGATTATTATACCTTTATATTATTATGCCTTATCATGTCAAACTACAACCTGTCAACAGGAGTTTTCAAATTTCCAGTTTGGTTTTCAGAAACCTGTCTTTTTCAGTTGCCATGCTGCACTTTTATACTAAAAATGAATCTATAGTCCTAAATTTTATCCCTTTAAATGTATGTTAGGGAAAATGTGTCTTATCTGTGGTGCTATTGACTTCATTTGGAATAATAATAGCCATGTTGATTGTAAACATTGGATTGTACTAGTCTTGCCCATCCTGACAAACAGCGTCAGATAATAACACGATTACCATGAAAACATGGCTGTGTAGCAAGTAAATTTGCTTAGCTGTCTGACGTGACGTGATCCGTCATCAGCCGTTCCTGTGCCGTCATTGTCTGACATCCCAGGACAACCTGCGGGCCCAATACACAATACACAGACTGGGGTAAGTTTAGTCCTTCTGTTGGCAGGACAGAAGAGGGTCTGATCAGTCCTGCAATAGTAACAGGATAATCACCCCCTTGAGAAAACTCCCTCCAATCCACATCCCCTCAGCTCACTCCTGGATTTACTGCCTGTGTTTGTGGAATAGTGGACAGCAGGGGTGGGCATTTCTCAATACACTTCCCTCTTGCCCTCTTCCCTCTGCCAAACACACTGCGACTTTTACCAAAGATGGTTAAAGCTGGAAAGGAGAAGGGAATCAACTGAAATACAGGCAGAAAGAATGGAAATGAATGCAACAAATAACTGAACCATGCACGAAAAACATTGACACAGGTCTAAAAG